CATCTTTATGGCAGAAAGCGAAGAAAAACTAAAGAGCCTGTTGATGAAAGTGAAAGAGGAGAGTGAAAATGTTGGCTTAAAACTCAACATTCAGAAAACTAAGATCATGGCATCTGGTCCTATCACTTCATGGAATAGATGGGGAAATAGTGGAAACAGTGAGAGACTTTATTTTTTGGGGCTCCAGAATCACTGCAGATGATGACTGCAGCCATGAAATTAAACAACACTTGCTCCTTGGAAGAAAAGTTATGACCCACCTAGACAATATATTAAAAAGCAGAGACATTACTTTGCCAACAAATGTCCGACTAGTCAAAGGTATGGTTTTTCCAGTAGTCATGTAGGGATGTGAGAGTTGGACTATAAAGAAAGCTGGGCGCCGAAGAATTGATGCTTTTAAACTGTGGTGTTGGAGAAGACTCCTGAGAGTCCCTTAGACAGCAGGGAGATCCAGCCAGTCAATCCTAAAGGAAATCAGTCCTAAATGTTCATTGGGAGGACTGATGCTGAAGCTGAAACTCCAATTCTTTGGCCACCTGAAGCGAAGACCCAATTAATTTGAAAAGATCCTGATGCTGGGAAAGATTGAAGGTGGGAAGAGAAGGGGGCGACAGAGGATGAGATGTTTGGATGGCATCACAAACTCAATGGACATTAGTTTGAGTAAACTCTGGGATTTGGTGATAGACAGGGAGGCATGGCATGCTGCAGTCCATAGCGTCGCAAACAGTTGGACACGACTGGGCAACTGAACTGAACAAGAAAGCTATATTGCTGTTTCTTCATTATCAATACATGTATTATTACACCTGTAAATAAAAGTGAATTTCTTTTCACATTATCTTTTTTCATTTTTGATATCTAATGTTAGGAATACATTTAGTATTTACAGTGTTTTGTACCATATAAGACAATATTGTTGTAGGTACTGGCAGACAGTTCATTTTGTAGACACACAACATACTTTTACTCTATTGATAAATACAGTATAATACTGTAAATGTATTTTCTCTTCCTTATGAATTTATTAATGCATTTTCTTTTATCTAACTTTAAGAATACAGTATATGGTACATATAACATACAAAATATGTTAACTGATGGTGTTATTGGTAAGACTTTAGGTCTGCAGTAAACTATTAGATTCTCTAAGAATCTTTTTAGGATCACTTTCAGTTTCTACTCACTAACTAGCTGTCTGTATCTGTTATTGGAACTCTTAAAGAGACAATCTGACTGCTACCCTGTCTCTCTCTGGCTGAAACTTTTTGAACCAAAGCTTTTTTCTTTCTCATGACAGAGAAAGCAGGTGAAAAGGGTACATGGGTCAGTCCCTTGATGCAGAATATGGCCACCTAGGGCTTCTCATTCACCAGCGGCCATGGTCAGAGTTCTGCTAGAAAGAACAGTCGGTATGGCAGTCACTGAGGCTGACATTTATCTCTCCTTCTAAATATGAGCTTTTGAGGGTAGAGGTATGTTTTAGGTATTTTTTAATGCTTAAAGCCCTGCATTATTAGCACATAGTAGGTTCTCAATATATGTTATTGAACAAATGAATGAACTGATGGATGGCTATCTGGACTCCTCAATTAGATTGTTAGCTCCCTTAACTGGCCCCAAAATTTGACTGGCCCCAAAGTTTAACACAAATCCTTAAAATTAACAAATTACAGGACTACCTTGGAGGTTATTTTAGGAAATGCTGTTTTTAAAGAAACAATTGAAGTATTAATAGAAGTGTTTCATAGTTTTGCTTTAATGATTTTTATTAGTATCATATCAATTTTTAATGTTACATAATAGTTTTGGAATGACCTGAGTTAAGAATTTGTCCTCTCATGCATCTTAAACACTCACCAATTAGAAAAGTTTAAAATAGTAATATTGGTTTTCCTTTTATGTTTAAATAGTATCTTACAGCACTTCTCTGGGTAATGAAAATCACTTTTTACAGGTAGTAGGTATGTACTTCGGTACTTGTTGACTCCCCTGTGAGCTAGTGAGTCACTAGAAGAAGCTGGAGTGGGGTGATACGTACCTTGGAGAACGCAATCATCACCATGGTAACCCGGAGCCTTCTTGGCTACTACCTCTTCCCACATTTTTGTTATATTCAAAGGAGGAAGTTATTATTTACTTTAGATTTTATATTTTAATACATTTTTCAGGGCACAAATTCCTAACTTCCATCATTCTTGTGTATAAAACATTGCCATAGGAACAATAGAAACTAGTGATTATGATACTTTATGAAATGAAAAATGATGAACCAATTCTATAATATTTTAAGATTAAAAAAATTTTTTTCCTCAAGTTTGCATCATGATTATCAAACTGTTGGAATGAAAACATTCTTAACCAAATGGCTAACTGATGATTTTTACCTATTTTGAAAAGGCAACCACTAAGTAACATTATATATTTCATTTTAAAATGTTTTCATTTATCAAAAAAACCCCACAAAACTCCTGTTAATTGTAGCTAACTTTAAAAATAATGACAGGCAATGGAAAAACATTTAACAATCCAGTAATCCCTCTTCCCCACAGTTTATTATATTTCTCCAGTACCTTTCTAGTAATTGTATTATATGTTGGTGTTGTGTTGGTGGTGAGGGAGAGACCAAGAGAGAGAGAAAGAGAGAGAGAGACATAGAGAGGGAGAGAGGAAACGCTTTCCCAATACGTTTTGTTCTGTATCACATTAAAAAAAAAAACTTTATTGTGAACATTTTTCAAATATTTTACTATGGTGTCATTTTTATTGGTAATAATATAGATGTTTTATTGAATAAATTTACCATATTTTATTGAACCAGCTCCCTTTTTGTTGGACATTTTAATTTTTTCAAACTTTCACCAATACCAAGCATAAAACAAAAAAGAAAAAGGGGATAGAAAGAGAGAGAGGAGGGGATAGGGTACAAGGAGAGAGTAAGGAAGGAAACTGCAAAAATATCTTGTGACACACATATATTTCCTTAGCATACATTTTCTTATCATTACATCAGTGTTGAATTTGTAGTTAAAATGTATGTGCTTTTCAGACATTTTGTCAAAGAGCAGTTGAGAACTGCTCTAGTACCCTCTCTAGCACTGATGTTGTCTTCTAAAATAATCCTTATCAATTCAACAGGCAAAAAAGACACTTTAATATTGTTTTCATTTGCATTTTATTACAGATGAATACAATTCATCTTTATTGGCCCCCCCCTTTCTTTTTTACTTACTCATTTGGCTGTGCTGGGTCTTAGTTGTGACATGTGACCTCTTAGTTGCAGGATGTGAGATCTCCTTCCCTCACCAGAGGAGGAACCTCAGTCCTCTGCGTCGGGAACGAGGAGTCTTGGCCACTGGACTACCAGATGAGTCCCCTATTGACCCTATCTATTTCTGCTTTTCTGATTTACTTGCCCGTTTTTCTATTTGGCTATTTATCCTTTTCTTATTGATTTGTAAGACTTCTTACCCTTCATCCATTTTTCTCCCTTCTAGTTTGGTGTCAGCCCTTTAATTTTTTGTTGATTTTTTTTTCCTTAAAGTTCATTATGTGCCCTTTAATTTTTTGGTGATCTCTGAAACACTTTCCACTTTTTTATGTTTTTTTTTTTAGTTTTTTTTTTTTTCTTTTTTATTTATTTATTTTTTTTTATCACAACCATAGTGTATCTTTTTTTTTTTTTTTTTTACATGTATTCCCCATCCCGGTCCCCCCTCCCACCTCCCTCTCCACCCAATCCCTCTGGGTCTTCCCAGTGCACCAGGCCCGAGCACTTGTCTCATGCACCCAACCTGGGCTGGTGAACTGTTTTTTATGTATTTTAAAAATCAGTTTTTGCTTTATATTTCATGTGCTATAAATTCCATTTCCAAGATTATTCATAAGTATTTTTTTAGTAATTTTATGATTTGACTTTTATATTAAAATCTTTAATCCACCAAGAATTTAATTTAGCCCATGGCATATACATATGGACACAGCAGACGGTCAATACTGAAATCAGATTGATTATATTCTTTGCAGTCAAAGATGGAGAAGCTCTATACAGTCAGCAAAAACAAGACCAGGAGCTGACTGTGGCTCAGATCATGAACTCCTTATTGCTAAATTCAGACTTAAATTGAAGAAAGTAGGGAAAACCAACAGACTATCCCAGGTATGACCTAAATCAAATCCCTTATGATTATATAGTGGAAGTGACAAATAGATTCAAAGGATTAGATCTGACAGACAGAGTGCCTGAAGAACTATGGATGGAGGTTCATGACATTGTAAAGGAGGCAGTGATCAAGACCATCCACAAGAAAAATGAAAAAAGGCAAAATGGTTGTCTGAGGAGGCCTTACAAATAGCTGAGAAAAGAAGAGAAGCTAAAGGCAAAGGAGAAAAGGAAAGATATACCCATGTGAATGCAGAGTTCCAAAGAATAGCAAGGAGAGAGAAGAAAACCTTCCTCAGTGATCAATGCAAAGAAATAGAGGAAAACAATAGAATGGGAAGGACTAGAGATCTCTTTAAGAGAATTAGAGATACCAAGGGAACATTTCATGCAAGGACAGGCACAATAAAGGACAGAAATGGACCTAACAGAAGCAGAAGATATTAAGAAGAGGTGGCAAGAATACACAGAAGAATTGTACAAGAAAAGATCTTCATGACCCAGATAATCACGATGGTATGATCACTCACCTAGAGCCAGACATCCTGGAATGTGAAGTCAAGTGGGCCTTAAGAAGCATTACTATGAACAAAGCTAGTGGAAGTGATGGAATTCCAGTTAAGCTATTTCAAATCCTAAAAGATGATGTTGTGAAAGGGCTGTACTCAATATCCCAGCAAATTTGGAAAACTCAGCAGTGGCCACAGGACAGAAAATGGTCAGTTTTCATTCCAATCCCAAAGAAAGGCGATGTCAAAGAATGTTCAAACTACTGCACAGTTGCACTTATTTCACATGCTAGCAAAGTAATGCTCAAAATTCTCCAAGCCAGGCTTTAACAGTACATGACCATGAACTTCCAGATGTTCAAGCTGGATTTAGAAAAGGCGGAGGAACAAGAGATCAAATTGCTAACATCCATTGGATTATCAAAAAAGCAAGAGAGTTCCAGAAAAACATCTACTTCTGCTTTATTGACTATGCCAAAGCCTTTGACTGTGTGGATCACAATAAACTGTGGAAAATTCTTCAAGAGATGGGAATACCAGACCACCTTACCTGCCTCTTGAGAAATCTGTATGCAGGTCAAGAAGCAACAGTTAGAACCAGACATAGAACAACAGACTGGTTCCAAATCAAGAAAGGAGCACATCAAGGCTGTATATTGTCACCCTGCTTATTTCATTTATATACAGAGTACATCATGCGAAATGCTGGGCTGGAGGAAGCACAATTGGAATCAAGATTGCTGGGAGAAAAATCAATAACCTCAGATATGCATATACCCTTATGGCAGAAAGCGAAGAAAAACTAAAGAGCCTGTTGATGAAAGTGAAAGAGGAGAGTGAAAATGTTGGCTTAAAACTCAACATTCAGAAAACTAAGATCATGGCGTCCAGTCCTATCACTTCATGGCAAATAGATGGGGAAACAGTGACAGACTTTAATTTTTTGGGCTCCAAAATCACTGCAGATGATGACTGCAGCCATGAAATTAAACAACACTTGCTCCTTGGAAGAAAAGCTATGACCCACCTAGACAGCATACTAAAAAGCAAAGATATTACTTGGCCAAGAAATGTCCATCTAGTCAAAGGTATGGTTTTTCCAGTAGTCATGTATGGATGTGAGAGTTGGACTATAAAGAAAGCTGAGCACCGAAGAATTGATGCTTTTGAGGTGTGGTGTTGGAGAAGACTCTTGAGAATCTCCCGGACTGCAAGGAGATCAAACCAGTCAATCCTGAAGGAAATCAGTCCTGAATGAAAGGACTGATGCTGAAGCTGAAACTCCAATACTTTGGCCACCTGATGCGAAGAACTGACTCATTGGAAAAGACCCTGATGCTGGGCAAGATTGAAGGCAGGAGGAGAAGGGCACAACAGAGGATAAGATGGTTGGATGGCATCACTGACTCGATGGACATGAGTTTGATTAAGCTCTAGGAGTTGGTGATGGACAGGGAAGCCTGGCATGCTGCAATCTATAGGGTGGCAAAGAGTTGGACATGACTGAGCGACTAAACTGACTGACTGACTGTGGTATATTTTCCTCTTAACAGTTGGCCAGTGGCTCCTTCACTTATTGTATAATTTATACTTTTCTTGCTGATTAGGAATGCCTCTGTTATTATTTCTCTCCTTAGGTCTCAGTAACTTTGATATTAACCTGAAGCTTTAAAGCTGTTTGACAGATCTAACCATTTTCCTTCTCGGTTAGCAACTACGTGGAAGATGAAGAGATGTCAGTTCAAATGCCAGAAAGATACTAAATGAATTGTTGGCTTTAAAAAAAAATCAAGAATGCTGTAAGTATTTTATAACAATGTTATTGCTTATATAGATTTGTGTTGTTAGGTATTTAAAATTTTTTATTGCTGTGTATCTGGGCTGAAATGATATATGATTTTATAATCATATTTTTCTCAACAAGCCAGTAATCTTAATGTATTATGTATGATATGTGCATAAATATATGTATTATCATTATGCAGAAGCTAAATATTATTTATGAATTTATGAAATGCTGAACAAATTTCATATACATGGGTAACTTTTTGTAACCAGCTTATAAAGTTAAATGTATTGGTTCATGGTTTTCCAACACAATCAACATAATTACAAACAGAAATTGATGTTAATTTTGCTACTCTTCTATTTTTTTAAAAAAAGAGCACCCTTGCCTTGTTTTTTAAAAAAATTTGTTTTATTTATTTTTTGATTGTGCTGTGGCTTTGTTGCTATGAGTGGGCTTTCTCTAGCTGGGTTGAGCATGGGCTCTAGGGTGCTTCAGTAGCTGTGGTGCATAGGCTTAGCTGCTGTGCAGCATGTGGGATCTTCCCGGACCAGGGATCAAACCCATGTCCACTGCACTGGCAGGAAGGAGGCTTCTTAACCACTGGACCACCAGAGAAGTCCAACTTTACTATCCTTTAAATTGAAGTTGCAAACACATAGAAAGGCATCTGTGTAAAATATAGGCTTATCTTTGTGCTTAAGTTGTCCTTGTTACCTAAACAAACAATCATAAAAATACATGTTTCTATTCAAACCAATAGTCTTTAGTTCTAGTAAAGATGAATGTTCTGATGGGATTTACTTGGGAACTATGACTTTCTCAACTACTTAGCCTATAATTTCACCACAAATTAAGTCACTTACCATTAGGTGCTTCTGAAAATACTATATTTGGTCAGTTAATCCATTTCCTGTCTGTTAATCCATTTCCTGTCTCATTGTGATGAACGCTGGCCTTAACCCTGACAATAATTTAGGTCAAATTATATAACCACAACCATAAGGGTAAATCTGTAGAATTTTATGTTAGGTCATTCCAAGGATTAATATATGTAATTCACTTATCTTCCTCCTTGTAATTCCTTAGGCACTTTTAGAATTATTTTGGTACATTGATAATTGTTAAAGATACTTGCTATCAAAAACCAACATTCAATCCTGTGTGTGAGCCTGACTGAAAAAAAGAGCTATAATAGTTATTACCAAGAAAATGTTCTGTGAATTGCTTGGGCATAATCTCTAAAGCCTGTTCTTTTCCCAGTGCTCATTTACAGTTAAGAAAACAAACCCAGGTGGCAAGGGAATTTAGCCTGAAAAAAGGCTTATCTCCCTACCCGCCTTGACAGACAAACTCAGTTTTATCTCTTGGCTCATATTACAAAGCATGGTTGTTCTCCAAATCAAGAGGATAATTTTTTTTAATGTTTCTCATTTCCTTCTCTTTAATAATGCTTTCTACAGTGTATAGAGAATATCCATCACTTCATCTCCACAGTTTCTCAAAAATCATTTCACCTATTCCAATTTCCTGTTCTATGACAAGAACCTCTTGGACAATTCTGCCCACTTTTCTTGTAAAATCCTGATTTACAAGCTAGAAAACCAGGCAGTATTCTTTGTCTTGGGAGTTTTCTTGATTTCATGTCAGATTCTTGTCTTGCTTCTTTTATTCTTAATTGTTCCAGGCTTATTTTCTTTCCTGATCAGTCCTTTTCTGCTCACAATCATCATTATGGTTCCATATGTCAATCTCCATGTTCGTAGTCCAGGGCAAGGGAGCAATCATGTGGACTACACATCCTTATTTTCATTTTATGGCTCAGTTTAGATACTGTTAATTGGAATATCCATGAGCACAGGAATTATGGCCATCTTGTGCAGCACTGTACACACAGTGACTGCCTCTATAGAATGCTCAGTAGATTTTTATTGAATTAATAATAGCCACCATTTAATAAATCTACTTATCAAATGATAGGTATTGTGCCATGCACAAAGGTAAGTCATTTTATAAATGAAAAGACTGAAACTTAGAAAATTAAATAACTTGCTCTTGGTCACAATGGCTAGTTAAGGCTGAAGAACTAAAACCTGACCTAATCCAAGCTATGGAAGTCTCAGTGCCCACATGCAATCTCTACAGTAACAGTGCAGAAGTAGGATAACATAACCATGAGGAAAGCTTGACTTTAAATCCTGACTCTGAGGCTGAAGAGTTAATAAACACTCTGTGCTTCAGTTTCATTATTAACTAGACACCATTTATTGAAAAAACATTCATTGGTTTCCAGTCACTCCACCTTAGAGTTGTTCTGTAATCTGCTACATTGCCTTATTTAGTGTAACACAGTTGGCACTGAAGATCACCAAAGGCTTAGACCCCTACAAATGACGGCTTAATACCCTAGTAGGCAATGTTCTGTCAGTTGAGATATTAGCTGCAAACAAGGAAGTGTGTAATGGATTGTCATACACACCAGTTACAACTTCAACAGTAGCAGGAATATATTGCTGGAAGGTCTGAAGACTGAAAAATTACCCATTTTTGTCCTCTTTTAAAATAACTGCCACTGTTTTCTTCTCTTTCCTTTCTTTCTGTAGCAACCATTGAGGGTCCTGAATCCCAAGATTATTTATAGAGTGTACTGGTAGTGATTATACTTACCATTTAGTCCTTAGACTGCAAGACCATGAGGAATCACAGATAGATGAGAACTAGAAGAATGGGCACTTTACATCCAGAGGTCAGGACTAAGTGAACAATAACACTAAGATGTCCTTACCACCAGCTGGACTGGATGTTCCTTTGGTCTTGAAAGAGGGCAAGAGCAGGGGCTATTGTAATAGAATGACTGGGTCAAGTAGGCAGGCTGAAGACATTTTTGTCATCATACATGTGGGGAAAGGCAAGGGCTCACAGTGATGTCTCCCCCCACAGCACAGGGATGGAACAGCAGCACTATCCAACACATGTAACTTGTAGTCTAAACTGCATGGCTGAGTGAAGCAGGTGTAGATATCTGACCCAAACTGGACAGACTTGTTCTCCTTGACAACTGGAATTTTGAACTGAGATGCAAAGAGATGGGGAATTGTTTTTAGCCCATGAGGAGGACAGTTTATGGATTCCTATTACTGAGTTTCCCTGATTATCCAGCAATTACCAACATTCTGTGAGATATGCCAGTATCCTTCTGGTAAAGTCAACTTAACTGGCTAGAGTTGTTATTTACTCTAAATAAGTGGAAGAACCTTACATACTACATTTCCCTGAAGCACTTTCTCTCAAGCTACTCCTTCATGTTCCTTTCCTTTATACCCGCCACCAAAGTACCATAGTTCACCAAGAATTCCACGATGTTTTCTATGACTGAGATTTTGGTGTTCCCCTGCATGAAATTCCCTTCCTTTTCTTCCTGAAAACTTTTTCAAGGATTATCTCCTCTATAACACTTTTAATCATCACCCCATACTTACCTGTTGATTTGTAGGACCCTCCACTATTCATGGGTTTCCCTTGTAGCTCAGCTGGTAAAGAATCTGCCTGCAATGCGGGAGACCTGGGTTCAGTCCCTGGGTTGGGAAGATCCCCTGGAAAAGGAAAAGGCTACCCACTCTAGTATCTGGCCTGGAGAACTCCAAGAATGGTATAATTAGTCCATGGGGTTGCAAAGAGTCAGATGGAAAATGAATAAACCCAGCCAATTCCAGAACAACTGCCCAACTAACATAGAGACTCCTAAGAAATAATAACTGGTTATCGTTTTAATCCACTGACCTTTGGGGTAACTTGCTAGGCAACATTTTATTGTGGGAATAAATAATTGGTACAATATCTGTGGGCTAGATTTCACATGGGGATCACCAGTTTAAGAGCTTTTCTAGATAAAGATTTAAAATCCAAGGACTGCTTTTTCAAGCCCCATTGTGTATGTGAAGAATGGATACGTTTACAAATTAACAGAAACTTCTCACTACTTGCTAATATAAGACATTTAAAAACTAGAAAAAGATTTTTTAAAAAACTTTGAAGAAAAATCAAAAGTAAAATCACCACTAATTTCTCTATTTCAACACAAATATGTTAGTTTTCAGTGTTTCTATTCAGCTATTTACATATATATTTTCATATAATTCTAATAATAATGCTATATCTTGCTTTAATATTAAAGGAAAAATGCTATTTCATACACAGTAATTTTAATCACTCCATAAAAATTCTTCAAACAGGTATACTATATCTGTATTATTTTAGATTCCTTTTTTTCCCTTATTACCAATAAGTGTCAAAATACAGCTTTTTTCTTTCTTTGGTATTATTGCTTTAAATATGAAGGCTGGGATGGTGTCTTTCTTACCTACTGCCATTGTCCCAAATACTTAGCAAAGTATGTGGTAGATACACAATAAACATTCACTGACTGTTTATTTATTCATGCAAGCAAGAATGAACAATTGGATTTACATAAGGAAAGGCTTTCTAATTCTGTCTGCTTCAAATGATTTTAAACTCGTACAATCAAAAAGTTATAATTTGAAAAAAAACATATTTGCATCACATCTTGAATTTATTACCTATAGATAAAGGAATCCGTTATTCACCTTAAAATTTGCAGTTACAAATTTGACCCATAAAATAGATGAAAGAATCCCAAGGTTTTTATTCATGAACTGCTTCTACAAATATCACTAGATGAACATCATCTATTCTCAGTTCTTATTCCCTTCTCTGCAACTCTTGACATTTTTGGCTGCTTCTTAAACTCCATCATGTATCAGTTTCTGCGATCACTGTTTATAATCACTCACTTATAGTCTTGTCTTCAGGGTTGACTGGTTCAAGATGGCAGGGTACAAGGACATGTGCCCATCTCCTGTGAGAGCACCAACTAGCTTTTGAACAACCATGGACAGGAGGATGCTGGAACCCACCAAAAAAAGATATCCCACATCTAAAGACAAAGGAGAGGCCACAACAAAATGGTGGGGGGAGGGCACAATCACGATAAAGTTAAATCCTATACCCGCCTAGGGGGCAACCCACAAACTGGAGAACACTAATACCAAAGAAGTTCTCCCCCTCTTGTGATGGTTCTGAGTGTCCTAGCCTGGGGACCCAGCAAAGGGACTAGGAATTCCCAGGGATTCTGACTGTGAAGGCCAACAGGATTTGATTGCAGGACTTCCATAGGGCTGGGAGAAATACAGACTTCACACTTGGAGGGCACAAACAACATCTTGTGTGTGCCAGGACTGAGGGGAAAGGAGCAGTGACCCCACAGGAGACTGAACCAGACCTACCAGCTAGTGTTCGATGAACTGTGGAGGCGTGGGTCAGCAGTGGCTCGCTGCAGGGATGGGGGCACTAGCAGCAGCAGTCCTAGGAAGTGCCCCTTGGTGTGAGCCCTCTTGGAGGTCACCATTGTTTTTCAGTCACTAAGTTGTGTCTGACTAGTTGCAACTCTATGAACTGCAGCATGCCAGGCTTCCCTGTCCTTCACCATCTCATGGAGTTTCTCAAACTCATGTCCATTGAGTTGGTGATGCCATCCAACTATCTCATCCTCTGTCACCCCCTTTCCCTCCTGCCCTTAATCTTTCCTAGCATCAAGGTCTTTTCCAATGAGTAGGCTCTTCGCATCAGGTGGCCAAAATATTGGAGCTTCGGCATAGTCCTTCCAGTTAATATTCAGGGTTGATTTCCTTTAGGATTGACCAGTTTGATCTTGCTGTCCAAGGGACTCTCAAGGGTCTTCTCCAGCACTACAATTTGAAAGCAGCAGACAACTGGATTAGAGTTTTACTAAGAACAGCCCTGCCCACTAGAGCAAGATCCAGTTCTCACTGCCAGTCCCTCCCATCTGGAAGCTTGCACAAGCTGCTTAGCCTCATCCACCAGAGGGCAGACAGAAGAGGCAACTACACTTCTGCAGCCTCAAGAAGGAAAACCACAATCACAGAAAGTAAATCAAAATGAAAATACAGAGGACTATGTCCCAGATGAAAGAAAAAGATAAAACCCTAGAAAAAATAACTAAATGAAGAAGAGATAGGCAACCTTCCAGAAAAAGAACTCAGAATAATGATAGTGAAGATGATCCAGGGTTTTGGAAAAAGAATGGAGAAGATGCAAGAAATGTTTACCAGAGAACCTGGAAGAACTAAAGAACAAACAAGAGATGAACACTGTACTAGAAGGAATAATCTTGTCTTCAGTCTGTTATATGAAACATGCCCAGATCTGTATATCTAATCCTGATCATTCTATTTGGACCTTTCAATCTCATCCACCTCCATTTCCTTAAAGTCTTACTTTGCTTGTATTGTCAATCTACACCTCTTTTCCTTTGAACTACATGTATGTGTCTCTTAGCCTTTGCAATTTTTTCTTGACCCTGCTTCTTCCTCAAGTGTCACTCCATTGCCCCTTTCCCTTCACCACCCAACTTTTGGAAAGTGTGTTCTGTACTCCTTGCTCTTTTCCGCATTCCTCTCCTTAACTGTTTGCATGTTGACTTCTACCTTGTCCTATTGACCTTTTACTTCAATGATTGATCCCCTTCCAACAATGCTTCTCTGTGGCATCTCACACCCTTCCAACTTAAGCCTGCACACCTAGAGAAACCAACAAGAAAAACCACCACAATGATAAACCCCACACACAACAACTAGAGAGTAGCCCCCACTCTGGGCAACTAAAGAAATCCCACCAGCAACAAAGCCCCAAGGCTGCCAAAAATAAAGAGCATAGCAACCCACTCCAGTATTCTTGCTTGGAGAATCCCACAGACAGAGAAGACTGGCAGGTGGCAGTCCATAGGGTTGCAGAGTCGGACTTGACTGAAGTGACTTAGCACACATGTGCAAACACGAACAAAAAAATTCCCCTCATGGCTTCCTTTGCACTGTACCTTCTTGGTTTCTAACAAGTCTCCCCTGACATACTTTCTTCGTCTTTGGACTTCTTTTCTACTCTACTATCCTTAAAGATCCTCATTCACCTCCAGAGTTAACAAATATTTACCAAGTGCCTATTATGTAGCAGGATCTGTGAGACCCCAGGGATAGAGGGATGAACAAACCAGAAGCTCACTGCATCTGCAGCACTTCCTTTTGTAATTTTTTAAAATTATTATTTATTTTTGGCTATGCTGGGTCTTCCAGGGAGTAGACCTTCTCTAGTTGTGGTGGTGGCGGGGGTACTCTTCATTGCAAGCTGGACCCTTTCGAGTTGTGAAGAACAAAAATCGGATTTCCAGAAGAATATTATGAAGTTATGTAGGAAACAAACAAGCATGTAGAAAGGAAACAAGATATATAGGAAGGAAACTCTTTCATAGGCCTACATCTGAGCCAACAGTTTCACATTCCTATTTTGCAGAAAATGTTTAAAATATTTTATCAAAGACATTTTATTTTGACTAAACTTAGTAATGCTAAGAAACAAATGTCTACACTGCAGAAATTAAAGAACCTGCAAGTGTAATGGAGAAAACGCTAAAAAAAAAGAAAAAAGAACAAATAAGTATGGTTTCCTCAAGATGCCACATCTAGGGTCGTACACTGAAATACAGAACTTTAAGAAAACATTTCAAACAAGCCAGTCGCTGCCAAAGTATGTACAACAACTGTATATGATTAACTAAAGTGCCTAAACTGATTTTAATGTTATCTCTTTTACTTTTGAGAAACTGCAACACTCTATTTATAACACAGCCTCTTCTTCAAAAAGACGTTATGGCAAACTTACTTTAAAAAAAAGCAATTTTTGTAAAGAACTTGTCACACGTTTGTTTCCCTGGAGAGAAAACCAGTTTCTGAATACACTTTAACCCACTTTCCCCCACCTTATCAGAACCAATACATCACGGAAAACGTCTAAGTTGGAACCTTGTAATTTGGCTCATTGTAGACTATCCCTCTCCACTACGTTGGATCTTATTTTTAGTTTCCAGCTTAGCTGTTAATTAGTAGTGGCTGTCACTTGTTTCATTTCCCATAAACCCAGAAAATGGGTGGAGGACCATAGAGAGCTTTGGTCCGAATAAATTCTATTAGATATCATCAACAGCTATTTCCTCCGAACGACGCAGACCCAGGAAAACAGAGTTTTCCTTTTCCCACATCCCATTCCCGAGGCTGGACTTCGCTCCTCTTCCATTCAATCTCAATTCGGGCTCCTAACGTTAGCAAAGAAAGTTCTTTGAACGAAATCCAGCGCTCCTTTGTCTACAAAGGTGGCTAAGAAAGGGTTCCGAGGCCTCAGCTGGCTGAGAGAAGGTACTGGCAGCGATCCACCCTAGCCAGTTCACCCACCCACCTCAACCCATCACAACCCGCGTCTGGTGCCGAAGCCCTGGCGCGTCCTCGGGTGTCTTCGGTACCGCGAGGCGCGCGCTCGCCCGGTCACTATCCCTGGGAAGGGGCGAGATCCCAGAACGCGTGCCGGGACTGCGGCAGGCGGAAGCTGCTGGCGGAGAAGACGGGCGGTTCCCGCCGGCCAGGGTGGGGGAAGGGCGGCTGCCACACCCGGAAGTTGGTCTGGAAGTGGGGGGGGAGGGTAACGTGTGGGGGCGAGGCTTCCGGTAGCGCAAAGGGTATCGGGAGAGGCTTCCAGTAAACCTTCTCTGGCCTCTGGAGGGACCACCGTTGGGGTGGCTTCGGCTTCCACGATCTGCGTTCGGGCTAAACGGTCACAGTAGACGCCGCCGCCGGCCCCCTTGTGCCTGGTTCTGTCCGTATTCGTTCCCAGGACACCGTCCCGGTTCCGGCAGCGGCTGCGGCCGACATGTTGTGAGGCGGCGGCGCGGGTGTCTGAAGGATGGTTTGGCCGAGGCGGGGGCATCGGCTGCTGGCGGCGGCGGCGGCGGCAGCGGGGGCTCCGGTTCTGTAGAGCCTTGCCCACTGAGTGTCCGCCCTGTTCCGCTGCCAGACCAGTGCCCCCGGACCTTGCCTCTGCTCCGCGCCGTTGAGGAACGGTTAGACGACAGCGCACGCCCCACTGAGGAGACACGAAGGGGGTTCTCCACTGCTCAGATTCCGGACCACCTTGCCTTCCCCTCTCCGACGTGGGCAGTGCTGTCCCCAGAATCCTCAGCACCCCCCACCCCCCCGGCCACTCCAACTTTACTTCCAACCTCGGCTTAAATCTTTCATACACACGAGTGTTCCCCTCTTTCTCCAGCCGCCCCTGGCCCCTTAATTTTCTGCACGCTCATCTCAGAGGGACTCCTGGATCGCTCTCCGAGGGCGGCCTTTTGAAAAATCGTCGTGGACCAGAGTTGAGTTTTTAAAAGTCGGGGCGCGAGAGAGAAGGTGCGATGGCTTCCTCATCTGGCAACGATGATGATCTCACTATACCCAGAGCTGCTATCAATAAGATGATCAAAGAGACTCTCCCCAATGTCCGGGTGGCTAACGATGCCCGGGAGCTGGTGGTGAACTGCTGCACTGAATTCATTCACCTTATATCTTCTGAAGCCAATGAGATTTGCAACAAATCGGAAAAGAAAACCATCTCGCCAGAGCACGTCATACAAGGTAAGTGGTATTTGTGGGATTTTGTTTCAAAGAGGGGCCGGGGACAGCCTGCTGGTCGCGTGACGCGTTCATGTCAAAGCCTTCAGTTCTGTCCCCTGGTTAGTAGTGGTAACTGAAAAGCCATTGCGGGCATGGAGGCAGCCGGTGCCTTCAGACCTCTCTGTAGTATTCTCGTGGCCCTTTTCAAACAGCAAATGCAGGTGAGAGCTGCAGGCGATTAAGTCGGCTAACATCCCCCCAAAGAAAGTAGTAGTAGCGGTCTCAGCGTACAGCCAGGTAAACCTAAAAGAACTTTGCTTGCCTAAAGTGAAACCTGGATCATGACAACTGAGAGAGGAAGCCAGAAGTTCTTGAAGGATTAGAATTCAGACAGGAAGTTCAAGCTTGAGTGGAGAGAACACCCCTTTCCCACCCGACCTTTTTCACCGGTGTAGAAGAAAAGATCAATTTTCAGAACATGAGTAAAGATATTCTTAACGTGAATGTTCACAATTGTAAAGTTTATTAGTGTTGACTGGAGTATATTTTCTGCTTTAAAAATGGTTTCATGGACTTCCCTGGTGGCTCAGATGGTAGAGTCTGCCGGCCATGTGGGAGACCCAGGTTCGATCCCTGGGTAAGGAAGATCCCCTGGAGGAGGAGATGGCAACCCACTCCTGGGAAAATCCTCTTGCCTGGAAAATCCCATGGATAGAGGAGCCTGGCAGGCTACAGTCCATGAGGTCGCAGAGTCGGACACGACTGAACGACTTCACACACACCGTTCATCAACAAGTTGCCAAAGCACTCCAGTTCTATTCTGTGAGAAAGAGGCAGTCAGGGTTCTTTAACCTTCTTCCTTTCTTCCTTTCTTCCATAGCTTGCATTGGTCCTTGGAGGTAGATTTTTAAAGCTGGGGTTTAAAGATCGTGAGATTTTTTTTTCTTGGAACTTTTCCCTTTTGTTTGTGCTGTCGTCCCCGTTTAGATGTATACACTTAACCGTTTATTGAACAGCACTTCTGAAAGTTTAAGTTTCTCCTCTTGTGTATTGGAAAGGATTTAGTTCAGTTAATAGGGCTTTGGGGGACCATATTCTGATGGTGTGTTTCAGGAATGGGGAGACATTTACTAGTCATAATGTTTTGGGAAGCACTTTCTGTGACTGGTACATATAATCTTATGGGAAGGTTGTGGTCAATTTTGAAGTGATAGCTTGCCTTTTATAATAACCCAATTAAAATTCTAACCATTTCTGGATCGCTTTTGAAGTCAGAAAAAAAAATTCATTGTTAATTTAATTTTGGTAGGCAGGCAGTTATCTACCATTTTATTGTTATAATTTAACTTTTTAAAGGGTGACTTTCCTGTTATTCTGAAGTAGAGGACACATCAGCTCATATTCACCATATATAGTATTTTACGGTAGTTATTGACCGAAGCATTTTGTCATTTCATTTTTTAAATGACTTCTGTAATTTCATTTTTGATTCTTAATGGTATATAAAACATACTCTGACATTTCCATTTCAGTATATAAGGAGAAAAATCCCTAGGAAAAGGTATATTTAACTTTAAAGCTAGTATTTGTTTAGAGTACTCTGGCAAGTAAAATGAAAGCCAAGTCGTCTATTTTTTGTCTTGTGTTTTTATTTTTACATTATATGTGCAATTGTCACAAATCTTTCATAAGATTGTCCAACACAAATAGCTGTAATTTCCTTTTATAACTCATACAAGAGAAAACGGATCTTTTATCAACATTGCCTTTCTAATGAAAATTGCAAAAGATTTCAAAAGGATCTGCTTGAACATTTGTTTACACCACAGAAGTGGGGATCTTTCCAAAAATCTAATAATGCCTTACAATCTGTCTTCTTGGGTAGAGTTTATTCTTTTCTAGGATATATTTAGATTTCTGATTGACATGATGGAAGAAAAGTGCAGCTGTAGCTAGCAGTATGCTAGCTAAATAGCTCAACTTTGGAATATGCTAAATTCAGTTTAACGTATGAGTCAGAAAGTTCCAGTGAAAGCATTTTCCTTATGTACTGAGGATGATTTATTAATTAAAAAAAAGAATGTATTGACCTGTTACAGCATTATAAAATTACTTTTGTTTTCTTGTAACATTGCTGTTCTTAAGTGTTAGATAAGAATGTACATTTTAACCCCAAATTCTCCCCAGTTAGAGGGATAGACTTTATATATTTATAATCTCATATTGCTTAGTCATTTAAAGAAATTTTTGTCTTGCGTGATTAAAATTTTTTAAAAGAAATCCTTAAGGTGTGTATTTTTTTAGGTGTTTAAAGTGTAATTTTATAGACTAACTCTGGAAAGCTGATTATGACATTTTTTTATGCTGTTCTGTCAATTTGATTATTTAGGAATGTAAGATATATCCAAGTGGAATAATGTACATTTTAAAGTGGTTTGATTCTAACATATTTAAGTTTGGAATTTTTTAGTAATACATTTAATGAAGTAGACTTTGCTTCAGGACATTTCACTTGCCACTTTGCTTTACCTTCTCAGAGCAAATTAAGCATTGGAGGCAGTTTTGTAAAATGCAAGCTAAAGCTGAACAAATTTTATTGCCAGTAAATCTGAAATTATATAATCTAGTTAAAATTTTAAAAAATTTTAATGTAAATATTTTGCTTATTTTGAGTTTAAGAACATGGCATTGAAGATAACATACACACAAATAGAGGGAGTTCTACACTTAAAAAATTTTTTATTTTGTTTCTGGGTTTCTGTGAACACATTCTTAAATGAGTTCTAACATGTTCTGTTGCATTATGGAAAGAACTGACATTGAGAGTTAAGAACTGCAAAGTGTACTGTGAAGTGTTTGGCCTTAGGCAAATCTGGTAACTAAGGTTTCCCCATTTATGTATAAATAATACTTAATGGTTTCAGGTATAATTAGCAATTATTGAGAATCAGTCAGAATTGAGAAACTTATGAAATATATGCTACAATTATAATTTAAAAACTATATGATACTGATAAAAATGTAAAGCTGAAGGTCTGTTATGTTTAACCTTATGTCATGATGCCATTTATAAAGAGAAAGTGTAAATAGGAATATTTTAAATGATATTATTTTTACTTCTGCATTTTAAATCTGTTGCTACATTTTCTTTCTTACTTTTTTGAGAATAGTAACTGCAAGTTAGTCAAAGTTTGAAAAAGCCTCTGAGGATTCACTTCAGCAGTTGTATTGCTCCAATCCCTCTCACGCTGGTACTTGGTAAAATACAATAAAAATGAGTCACTAGAAAAACAAAATGAAAAATTTTGATACTGCATTCAATAGAAATAAAATTACTGTCAAACTGCTATCAAGTTTCTTTTTTTCCCTGGCTTTTTGAACTGTAATTGACATATAACATTGTGTAAGTTTTAAGTTTTACAACCTAATAATTTGATGTGTATATATATTATGAATTAATTATCACAATAAAATTAGTTAACACAGCCATCACTTCACATAGCTACAGTTTTGCTGTAAAGGCTCTTAAAATGCTTACTTTGAGTTTCTGTACTTAACTCATTGCAGACAATTACATGCAGTTGTGATACAAATCCACAGATCATACTTTAAGTATCCTTGTTCTAAAACTTCAACCACAGTCTGTTTTGGAAAGTGGATTTGAAGTAGTTTTGTAATCAGGGGATCTAAGTGATTGCAAAGAAGTTGTATTGTAATAATAGTAATAATAATGAGAATAGCATTGTATTGCCTAGATAAGCATCCATACTGATACTTTTTTTCTGAAGGGACGCATGTAATTTGCATTGAACAATTTATTACACACAGGTCCTTTTCAAGTTAGGACTTCACTGTCTTCTTTAAAATCAGTATGTCTTTTGTTTTTGTTTTCCTTCTGCCACCCAACAGTTAACTTCTGGATTGGCACTGTGCTAGATACTGCTAAGGATATAAAGATGAATGATATTTGATTCTTGCTCTGCCATCCATCTCTCATTGTTGTCCCGGATTCTCAGGAGTGGTGATACCATAGAGAAGGGATCCCCAACCCCTGTTTAGAACTGGGCCACACAGCAGGAGGGTGAGCAGTGGGTGAGCAGGAAGCTTCATCTGCCACTCACCATCACTCGCATTACCACCATGGAAAAATTGTCTTCCACAAAACTGGTCCCTGATGCCAAAAAGTTTGGGGGCAGCTGCCATAGATGACATGATTCTTCAGGGTCTTTGTTAGGCCATTAAGCCAAGAAATCACTTTGGCCTACCTTCTCAATGTATTTTAAGTGAACTACAGCACCTCCCTCCCCTAATGTACAAACAAAAGAA